ATCTCTTTTGGAAATCTGCTTTCAATGTGTAAGAAATTTCCTTTACTTCCTTTATAAGACAATAGAAGCTACTCCTGGATTCAGGTACAACACCTAGGCCTTGTTGCAAGGGGAGGCAAGTGCCGGCCAACTTCTGCAGCGCTTCAGGCTAGACCTCATTGCGGAAAATCTGATGAGTTTAAGGTTTTGATCAGAATTTGCAAATATGTGACACAAAAAGCCTTCGACAGTATTAGTTTGATCTCACCCAACTTTCAACAGACCCCAGGCTGCTCTCCATTGGCCAAGAGACTCAATTACTTTTCCCCAAGTAATTTCATGAAAGCACAATACTGGCTCCAGTTCTGCTGAGCCAGCCAGATCCTGCAAGGCAGCTTCCTGGCTGTGAAGTGCAACAGCCCATGGCAGCAGCTCCAGGAGAGCCTGGAGGATGCTGCCAGGGCTCACCCACAGGTGTTGGGGACAGACACCCCTGGGCAGGGAAAGCCTGGTTACCTGCACTGAGGTTACCTGCACTGAATATGCAGAGCAGAGTCTACCATTCAAGCAGCCTTGGATGACTGCAAGTTTTCAAGCTTTAAGAAAAAATCACCAATTATTGTAAGAGCCAGTGTCATTGCACTTGTAAGGAAATACAGAAGAATCTTCTAGAAACTGTTAACCTCCAGGATTGTTCAGCAATTTCATAATTTTAAGAGAGTGGCTGTAATGCATTTCTCTACATCTACAAGGATGAATTAATCAAGCAAGACAGTAGCTCTCAGCAAAGTAACATAAACACTTTTTTGCTTCCGTGCAAAAGTCCAGTTTTGATTCATGGAGTCACATCAAGCCATTGCAAAAAAGAAACCTGCCTCTTGCAGTTGCTCATTTTTGGAGCTTATCCAGTTCTTCACAGCCTGGCATGCAGAGTGGTTTTATCTCCTTCCTGTCCATCCTCCCTAGAGTTAGGTTCTGCTGTGAAAGACAGGGGTATAATTTTACTTGAGGCTTTCTTAGGAAAAGACAGAAATGCCCATCACCACCGAGGAGCTAGAGAGCACGGGGCCCTTCTACACCCTGGCAAACACAGCCCTGAAGGGTGTCTGCCAGACAGGACCATTGCTCAGAGACAAGCCAAACTTGTTTGGAAGTCCAGTGCCAGGACTACTGGGTGCAACCTGCAGGGTGCAACCCACAACTAGTCCATTTTCATCACTGAGATAAAATTAGCTGGTATTGTCAGAAGTGGCAAGACTTACAAATAAATAAAAATTAAAATATATATCCAGCAGTTTCAATTTCCTACCTCACAGCCTTGGAAACAGGTTCCATAGGTTCATGCACCAATCTTGTGGATCTGACAGGATTCCCAGAGCAATGCAAAGGAGCCCTGAGCATCTCAGAAGTGGAGAGCCATTTGTCCAACCCACAGCACCCCTCAAAGGAAGGAAATTCCTCATCGAACCCAAATGGTGCAACTCACCACCCTGGCTGCTGGGACCAGCTCAGATGTGACCAGGGAACCTTCCGGACACTGTCCTCACAGCAGAAACCATGCAGCATGGAGAAGGGAGTGGAGACTGGCAGGAACAGCTCTGCGTTAGAGCACCTGCCAAATCTGTGCCGTGGCAGCATGGCATCTGAAGGGAAAATACTGAACCGGTTCCTCACCACGTGAAAGACAGAGCATTGCAATGGCAATGCAAAGAATGTTGTACAAAATTAAACTATGTCAGGATCCAGGTGAAGTGATCTGTCCCCACTATCAAAGCTGTGGAGACTCACCTGAAAAAATAAAGCCTGGTTTAAAACCAGAAGGATGCAATGCAGGACCCAGGCATGCTTCCTCTCAAATCTTCTGCAATGCATAATGACCCAAATAAAACGAGCATTCCGGCTGCTCTTGCGACATCCCTACTCCTAAGCTGGCAGAGATGGGCACAGAGAATTGGGCCGCCTGTCCGAAAGCACATTGTGATGTTCTGATGAAAGGAGGCCAGGGAAATCCAAATTCCTTTTATCTCTTCCTCACCAGCCCTTGGAAGTGGTTAGAAAGCAGCTGCTTAGCCAGGCTTGTTTGGACCTTCACAATGTCTTCAAGCTTTCCCAGAGCACTCATATTTTTTTTTAAGGTTTTAAAAGCCCATCTGTGCTCCTGGCCCTTTAAGCCAAGTTCCAAGCCCAGATGGAGATTTTAAATCCCTGTAAAGAATGGGTAGACAGAGCTGCTGGTGGCACACCCTGCTCTAAAATGGCATGACCATATCTCAGACCAAGCATGTCCATATTGAGAGCCTCTTCCAGAGCCAGTTTTAACTACAAGAAAATGGAGAGAGGCTGTAATGATTCCCAGATAGTTTGATAACCAGGGGTCTCACCCCTAAAGGACCCTACTCTGTTGTATCTGATGTTTTCTGTTTCTGTTCTCTCATCATTCAGACTCTCTGAACAGCTAGAGAGCAAGGCTGTGGGCCCCAGTGCCTCATGCATTTAGTGGATGCTTACATCCATAACCCACTTTGCACACTTTCTAGTTCACTTTTTCACATGGACTTCCTTCTCTCCAAAATAGGCAAATAAATTAATAACTAACTAACTAAACAACTGGACTAAAACCAAAGCCTGGCAGTCCTGTGCCAGCTGTGGAATGATGCTTGTTTGGCTAGAAGTCTCTATGACACACCCTCAGCATCAGGATGAGTTTGGAGCAGAAGAGGCCTTGCTTCCAAATTCAACCACATCACTGCACATGTGGGTTCAAGTGTCTACGAAGTGCAAGTTGTTTTGAAAAGTAACTCATCTGCTTCCCCTGTAAAAAGCACAGCCCTGGACTCCTTAAGAGATAAGGCAGAAGCCAGAGGGACCTTCCCGCGCACAGCCAACAAGATGTAAAAGGCTCTGTCTACAGCCCTTTATTTAATTTACAAACCTCTGCCTGAAGAGGCGGGAGGCAAATCAGAGCCTCCAAAGGCAGAAGGAAGAGCAAGCCTGAGGCTTTCACAAAAAGTGGGAACAGAGTATCTCTTCAGATTTGGAGAACAAAGGCTTTCTGGATAGGCAACAAGCAGCAACTCCCCAGACTCAAAACACTGATAAAAACCACCTGAGGTTTGCTTCCTAACCAGGGAGAAAGTAGATTGGTTTGTTTAATGAAAAGACTTGGGAAATCCCTTCCAGCTCAATGGCCTTTGTAGCAGAGTGATCCCTTTGAGAGACCCCTACATCATCTCCTTTTTATACTGGATGGAGCAGCTCATTGCCTGGCCAAAACAAGTGCTTTCCCCACAGAGTCAGGCTTACAGAAACCCTTAGCTCAAGCATTGCAAGCAGCGTATCTCCAAAGCACTGGGGGAATGCGAGTCTGTACAGGTCGAAAGAAGCTTTAGAGCTTTAGGAGGAGAGAAAAAAAAACCTCACAACTGAGCTTAATCTCTAATCCAGCAGGTTTCTGGAAAAGCAAACTTCACTGCACGCTGCCATTCCGTGCACACACCTCTGTGCAGAACTATGTGCCCGGCGAGGCTGGGTCCATCCCGTGTGCTGGGCACAAGCTGGCAGCGCCCTGGGATAACGCCGAGCATGCTGAGCCCACACACGTGAAGACATATGAGGCACACTCATTCCTCGAATATCTGATAATTCCTGGGATCCTTCTAACTCTGTTTATTGCCTCCAGCAGTCTTTGTTTCTGATGTGAGAAGATAAACAATGGGAATTGTCTTAATCCTAAAGGCAAAGAATAAAAAGCACTGAGCGGGGGACGATCCTTTTATCATGATACATTTGCAACATCAAAAAAAGTTGACCCCCTTCCTTTGAAACGCACTGAAATGTATCTGCTTTTCCTCCCCTGTTGGCAGGAATGAGCCCCCCGCGCCCACCCTTGCTCTGCCAGCACGGACGGCTGCACACAGCCCTCCCTGACTAGTGCGGCGAATCACCACTCCGCCTCGCCTCCCAAATCCTATTCCAGCTGCGTGCGGCGCCGGGGACCGAGGGGAGTCCCACCTCTGCACATCCGTGCGGGGCAGCTTGCCGACCTCACTCATGAAATCCCCACTTTCCGCCGTGCCCGTCCCAGGGCAGCCGAAGCTGCTCCTCTCTAGAGATCTGCCATCATCTCACAGAGCTTCCTCAGCAGGACTTTCTTCCTGCAGGAAAAACACTCCCACAGTTCCCAATATACCTTCACCAGAAGCATGACAGCTTAAAAGACCACCTTGATAGCTGCTATGATCCACCCACTAGTTGCTAGAGACGTGCGGCATGCAAATCGCTCCATCTGGCAAAGAAGGAGGGGAGAAGGACTAAGCACTAACGCATCCTAGGCAGGCACCTTTTCCCACAGGCAGGACACTTGGAGAGTGCGGCTGACCTGGCACTTTCCCCAGGCATTGGTGAGCATCCTCCAAAAAACACCTACATCCCACAGCCTCCAGCAAGTCAAAATGTAAAGGCAGGAGCTGTATCCGGATGCAGAGAGGACTCTTTGCACAGGGGATGTGTGCCCATCTGAGCACCTGTGTTTGGGATACACGACACTCAGGACCTTTCATGCTGACAGTCCTGGGAACTCCTTAACCTGTGTGGTGTACTTGCCCCTGCCGAGAGAAATCCATGAAGGTGAGATGGAGGCGGCCCACGCTCCTCAGCCGGAGAGCGGGTCTGCTGGGTGCGTGCACGGGAACGAATTAGTTCCCGTCAGCCGGCAACACGGCAAAGCGGGGGAAGCACCATCTCCCACCAAGCAGATTTATTAGGAAGAACCGATGCCTTCCTTCAAAGTTAGGTGGGAAAGTGTTGTCATGCTCCATCCCCTCTGACCCGGGAAGGGGGAAAGGGGGGGGGTGTCCTCTTCAGAAAGTAGTCCCACCGCCTTGGCAAACACGTAGGAATTTTCCAGAACGATTTCCGCCCCTGTTTACCTTACACATTATTTCAGTGTTTGTTCAGCGGGTTCCCGATGTCATCGGGCTCCTCTGCGGCGTGCAACAGCCCCCCGACACCCGTGCTCTTACCGGGAATGGGGGGCCGAGGCGTGGGCAGCCCTGCTCGCTGCAGATCCCCGGGCCCAGCACGTTTGGCCGCTCCCGCTCTGCCAAATCCTCCCCTGGACCGCTGGCCCTCGCGTGGCATCTCGCCAACACCCAGGCCCCGCTCCGACCCGACGTCCTGACCTCCACCCGTGATCCCGGTGTGATCCGGATTCATAACTTAAGGACAAAAAATGGGACGGGGCTACATAACCAGCCCCATTCCCATCAACCGCGATAACACTCCGCCGCTGAGCGGCTGGGCAGAGCCGGCATCCCCTGCCGCCCACCTGCCTGCGGATGAGGGCTGCAAGCCCACCGCCACGGCGGCAAGGGTCAGCGGGGACAGGGCACGGACGCGATGGCGACGGGCGCCCTGTGCCCGGCCGGGGACCGAGCAGCATCGCTGCCGGGGGTCGCGCCCGGTGCTGCCCAACCCCGCGGCACCTGCTCCGCGCCCCCGGGCTTCCAACAAGTTGCGGCGCGTCCGCGTTCCCCCTCTCGCCCCGCGGCTACTCACAGCCAGTTGCTGGCGTTGGCCGAGAAGGTGGCGAGGATGATGAGCAGCAAGGAGCGCAGAGAATACTCAGGGCTCATCCTGGAGGGCAGGCGGGGTGGGACTACGCGGAGCCGGCGGCGGCAGCGCCCCCGCCGCCCCGCGCCCAGGGCAGCCGCCGCCGCAGGTGGGCGCGGGCAGGAGCGCCGGGCGCTGCCCGGCTGATGCTCCCGCGGCGGCCGCCGAGCCCGACTGTCAGCGCGGCCGGCCCGTCCCGGGATGGAGCGGCGGGGCCGGAGGCGGGCCGGGGGCGGAGGCAGCCCCGGGGGCCGCCCCGGCTCCGCCGCTCCCTGGGCGGGACTCGCTGCCGGGGACATCCCCGGGGCGGGCCGGTGGCGGGGAGGGCACCGGAGAGGGCACCAGGGGCTCCCCCGGCAGGGAGGGCACTGGGAGTTTCTCCGGCGACGTGGAGGGCAGCGGGGAATCCGCCAGCGTCCCCCACCTTGCTGCTGCACCCGCCAAGCGGCACCTCTGGGTGGGTTCTCTGGGTGCGGGGAGAGACGAGGGAACCTCGCAAAGGGGAGGGGCGGGGGCTTCCGCATTTGATGTTTTTGGGGTAATTTCCTGGTCGCTATGAAGCAGCAGAGCTCTGAGATGTCCTGGCGCTGCCTGGAGTGCATGGCCCAGGCTGCCTTCTTCAACAAACACCCCTTTGACGTGGAGTGATTTCCGAAATTCCAGTTTCTGAGAATTCACTGTAAATACCAAAGTGCATCTGAAAATTGCAACTAAGGAGAGGGGTCTGGGTGGGTTCTGTGTGGGGGTTCTATCAGGAGAACAGCATTTGGAGATGGAACAGGGACAAGTTTGCAAACCCTCTTGGCATCTCAATAAGGGCTGCCCCGTGGAGAGCTGCCAGTGGCTGGTGGCAGGCTCTAGAATGTGCAGATGGAGGGTGATGCTTGAACAAATGTCAAGGCTTAAATTCACCTCTGGAAAAGTCAACTCTTGAGTAATCCCAAGAGCTCCTAACAGCATGTCTTAACCACCCCGAGAACAAGAGGTGTGGTGGGGATCCCTATCCCTGCTCCATCCACTATGCCCCTGTCTGTCCATATCGGCATAAATGACTTAATTTAAAGCCAGGAGCAACATGAGCTGGCTGCTTGGTGTGAAATCCAAGATCCCAGGCAGCCACAACTGTGCACCAAATCTCCTCTTGACAATGTTGTTACTTAGGTCCATTACTAAAACCTCTTGCTACCATCTCTAAAATCTTGCCAAGCTGGTTTGGAGCTATTCAAGATTCCCTTTGTCTTTTCAAACTCCGTTTTCCTGTAGCTGGGGCACACTTATTCAAAGCACGGCAACTTGCGCTAGGCTGCATATGCCTGTCTAACTTTATTACACCTACTTTAAAATCTCTGCATTAGTTCCCTGTCAAAGTGAGGATTTAATTTCAAAGTGCTTTGACTTATATTCCAGCTCCTGACAGGCAGCAGCCCACCCTCACCTAGTCATTCATCTGGCTTTCACATCCTTGCTGATTATCCTGGGTGAAAATGGGATTCTGGCTGCTTTGCTGGTGAATTGGAGGTTGTTGCCGTGAGCCCTGTCTGGGTAATTCAGTGCAACTGGAGCTGATTAATCTGGCTCATCATTTGAGACAAAGCTGATGCCTTCTGGCTTCTAATTGCTCAGGGTGTTGAGTGAACTTGTCACGAAGGCAAGAACTAATTGAGAGGCTAAGGGGAATGAGAGGTTAGAGGACTGTGGCTGGCTGGCCAGAGCCACGTGGGTCTATGGGAACGTCATACTTTTGGGCCTCTCATGTGTTGTTCCCCTCCAAGGAGAAATGTCAGACAGAAGCCAGAGGGGTGGGCATGAATCCTGGGGTCCTGTCTGGCATGGACATCTGCAGCCCACGGAGCGCTCCTGGCAGAAATGTTCCTGGTGCCAGGGCTGGTGGTGCTGCGGGCAGGCTCAGGGCACCCTGCTGCTCTTTTTGGGGTAGCTGTGGCGGCAGGATGGTGCAGTGGGTGCTTGACATTGATCTGGAGGACCTCTTGAGACTTCTCTTGGCCTGGGTGAGGAGTTGTAGATCATGTCCACCTAGTTCTGCAGCAGCTTCAGGTCCTGTTTCCATTGTAGCAGGTGGAACAGAGGGGACTGTCCTGACTTAACCAGCAGGAGAACAGGAAAGCCAGACCATTGCAGCAGTCACAGTGTGCATTGGGGATAGAGTGTCACATCCACAGGATGCACTGAGGATAGAGTGTCCATGGACTGATGAGTGGTACCCCCATGCCACAGGGGAGGCAGATGCAAACACCTCTGGAGTAAGTCACTCCGACAGGAAGTGCAGTGTGAGCTGCCTGTGGAGATGGTAACAGTGCACCAGGACATGAGGGGTGTTTATTTTACAGTCTCTGGGGTGGAGGAGGTGATGAGTGTGAATGGAGGACAGAATATGGAAATGGGCACTCACTTCAAGGGTGTGGGTTCCTTGATCTTTTCAAAGATGCCCATGAAACACTGCTTGGTCATTACCTACCACTTTCTGGAAGCTGGGTTCTTTTGGCCTCTGATTCAGAAGATGCTATGTTCTTTAAAAACCTAAAGCCCAGCTGATTTGGAAGAGAGGAAGACCCAATTCCAAGGGAATGTTTAAGGGACACAGCAGGTCTCCTGGCCTGTGCATTGCTGCAGAGGCCTCTTGGCCAGCAGGGCCCCTTCTGTGTCCTCCTCTCAGGGCAGCAGCTGGTGATGAAGGCCCCTTGTCACTGCCAGTGTGGGCTGGGGCTCAGTGCCTGCTGGCTACTCCAGGCTGCAAGGCAACGCTCTTTGTTACTGACTGTGTGTTGCTTAATGAACATCTAACTTCCATTAGATAAGGAGACTCTCTTTGATGTGAAAATATTTCAGTGATGGGAAGAGGAATGAAATGCACCCCAAGGCTTGCCCAGGTGGGTATTTATTCAAAAAGAAATTACCATCACCATATCACAGGCAAGGCAAAGGGCAAGCAGTGGTAACAGGAAGGGGTTTTCAACTCAGAGACCAATATGAAAGCAACAAAGCATGCAAAAATCCATGCAAAATTGTAGCCAGGCTCTGGATATAAGTGATGTAAATACAAACTACTCTGAAGAGTAAGTGCAGGCAGGTAGCACTCTTCCTCATTTTCTGGATCTGACCGGTGCTATCAGTCATGGAGGTTATGAGAGGTATTTTACAGGTTCTTTTCACGTTTCTGATTCCCATGGGCTTACCAAATGGGATTGAAAGTAGAGTACTCTACAATTTAGAGAATAGTCTCTACCATGTGGTGGGAGAAGAACTGCAAGAAAAAGTTCTCCTTAACTCATGGGTGAATCTGAGGCTGTGGGAGTTGGCTCTGAATAGAAATAAATTCCATTTTGGATTTAATGGAACATACCTATTGGACACTTTAGCAACAGTACATGTAGTAATCCTGTCCTGGAGAAAGGAGAAGTTGTTCTGGGAGCCTCCATGCCAGAAAATACAGGACAGTTGTACTCCTTTACAGAAACCTGTATTTTTTCTGATAAAATTTATTTCAAACTACACAAACATTTCTGAGTGGCACTGATGACTGGTTAGAGTAGGGACTGTATGGGACTGCAGTTCACAATCAGAAGCAGCCTTGCAAACATGAAGGTTGCTCTGACAAAAGAGCTGTGTCCAGTCCATTACAGTCAGGGAGCGAGCAGTTGCTCAGCTGGGCAGCTCGACACATCACAGTGGCCACTGGAACATCAAGACCAGCCTTTTTAGCTGCAGCAGGATGCTTTTAGCCCCATACCTATTCCAGAGCCTGCTTGGGAATGTGCATATATTTGTATGAGTCTTCAGAAGCAGGTGTTCAGTTAAAATAAATCTTCAGTGGCATTGCCTGAAATCTGGCACTGAGGCTGGTAAGATTCACTCCTCCAATTTTATTGTCAAATAGGGCACTGAAAAAAATACAGAGTGGCTTGGGATTTAGGGACTTTTGTTTTGGATGTTGTCTCTGAACACACCATCAAAATTTCTCTGGGAAAAATGAGTGGCTATGGTGATCTTGTGGGTGCTGTCCATGAGGGAAGTTAAGAGCATCTCCAAATATTGTGAATGCCTTCAAACCATAAAATTGCAGAAAGAACCAACTTTTCTACTGATCAGATAGATCCTTTTTCACAGGTCTGTGAATGAACTGTTCCCTGGGTTGTACTATTTTCAGAGGAGATTGTTATCACAGTTCCAGATTCTGGCATTTAAAATATATCCCAGCCGATTTCCCCACTCACTTGGGTGCCATCCACACCAAGCAGTGCTAACAAACCTTGATCCAGGTGCCGGCCTGGCAGTGCACATGTAGACAGCTGACACTGGAGTGACAGCTCACAGCTACATTTGCCCTACTCATTCTGCCCAGGAAGAAAATGAGATTTTAGGCTGGTTGGATTTATAACACCCTGATTCACTCCTTTCCAGTGCTCATTATACCTCCAGGCATTTAAGAGCACTGAGACTTCATCCCCCACCGTGGGAGCTGGGAGAGCCATGCTCGGCTGAGCAGGATGAAAGGAGGGATGGAAGCCACCAGGACCGCAAAGGGTCTTCCAGGCTAGGGATGGTCAGGAGAGGACAGGGCATGGGTGAACACCTTGGACTGTTCATGACTTGTGGTGGAGTTATCTTCAGCTTATCTTCACATTCAGCAGATGTGGCAGATGATGGAATTCCAGACTGGTTTGGGCTGGAAAGGACATTAAAGATCATCTCATTCCACCCCTTGCCATGGGTAGAGACACCTTCCATTATCCCAGGTTGCTCCAAGCCCCATCCAACCTGGCCTTTAACACTTCCAGGGATGGGGCAGCCACAGCTTCTCTGGACAATCAG